TCCATGTGCTATCTGCTTTGGCTTTGAATACTTGGACTTCAGTGTGATTTTGCATTCTGGATTTCTGTGCTTCGTCCATACTCATGTTCCTTGCAATTTGGTATCGGAGCTGGTTAGATTGCCACTTACCTTTGGCACGCTGGCGTTATACAGACTTGGTGCGTTGATGATGCTTCTTCGCAGTGGGTACTTGTGACGTCAGGCCACTATTGGTGCACGCCCTGGGTAGAGAGGGGTGCACCGGAAGGCTACAGACGGCATATTAGCCGTGGTGACAGGCGGAATGTTTGATTGATGATGAGAGCATGCTGATGTGGCTTTGGACTAAGGTGGCACTGCATCGCGTTGTGGGTGGTACCGAGGTCATGACCGGTCATCAAATGCAACATTGGCTTAATTGGTGAGAAATCTGTGGTTGGGGGCAGCTATCTCCAAGTACGTCGTTCCCTTACCTTATCTACTCTCTCAATCTCTTCTTACCGTGAGGAAGTGAGTCCAACTTGAGAGTCCTCTCTTTTGGTGAGGTGTCGTGAGCGCGCTACCTTGAGAGACGACAATCTTCCCGGAAGCATACTGGAAGGAGAAAGGGCGGTGCCTCTGAAGGGCCCTGGTTGAAGCAGTTGGGTCACGGTCACCATGCCAACCCATAAGGAGTAGTGCACGCATGCGATGGCTGATGTCATGTTTGGCACTTGCTGCGCTGATAGAAGTTCCTCCGGGTATGCCAGCCCATGACAGACGCTTACCAGACCGTCTATAAACATTTCTGGTTGGGAGTTCATTGTGATTCTGGCTGTGATCGTCGTCCTGACTGCGACGTTAAATAATTCCTGAAGAGATGGGGGCGCTCTATAAATTCCTCCTGATAAGCCAGATCACATGGACAGGAAGGCTCGTCGCCGTACGAGGGTAAATAAGAGTGGTTGGGCTGGCTTGCTCGGTGACAACTTGGGCACAGGGGTGGGCCGATTCACACACGAAGACACTGCTCGCTCAATGATGCTGTTCGGTATGTTGGATGGAGGGGAGGGTAGGTTCTAATTGGTGCTCAACTGTATACACAACCATACCCATCAATCATACATCTGCTACATTGTCTTTTTGTACCTTTGATTAGTTGGTGGACAGACTGCTAACACCTCACAGACAGATTAGTGTAGGACTGTTGTATGCTACCATAGCCAGTTCTAASTAATGCTGCTGTAAGTGAACAAGTCAAAGTGCATTTAGACTATGTAGACAAACTGTGTGAATGTTGTAGACATGCCACTTGATCGGTATAGTAGGGTACTTGCCGGACATATCCATTTCTAGAAAACTAGGTGCCGGTCAGACACATGCTGCGGTAGGATACCATTAGGGGATTCTAGTGCAGATAAAGTCTGCCTAACTCATGAGCAGATCAGACGTCGATGAGGAGAGAGTTGACGATGGTAGATTAACACGTGCAAGATCAAGTAGGATCCCATACGTGTTCAGGACCCTAGATGAGGGAGAAGAAAGACGGCTTCGTGCCGAACGTAGAGCCCGTGCTTTCGCAGCATCGAGAGAAGCAGCAAACCTTGCAGCTAGGGAACAGGCTGCAGCAGCAGCCAGGGCAGCAGCCATGACTTCTTCAGCAGCATCCTCCGCTGGAACTTCTGCTGCGCTCTCGTCTGGACCCCAGTTTGGAATGCCAACAGGGTCCACGAACACTTCCAATTCAACAGGTTCTAGACAATCTACAAGTCAAATGGCGGGCTCGCAGTACAGCCCGTTGACTCCTCGCGAAAGGGAGATGAGAGAGCTCCAGCAGGTCGAAAGGATTCGTGCACAGTTAGAGAAGGATCTGAAAGAGGCTACCGATAGAGAAAACGAGATAAAGAATAGAACAGCCAGGCTTGAAACGTTAGAGTCTGACAAGGCTGACTTGGAGGGCTTAGACGATTCAGGAATGAATGAGCCCATGAAAGTGTTGAGGAACAACATGCTGCTGCTGCATGCGCATGTGGACAGCAGATTGGACTTCATGCAGAGCACTTTGGACCAGATCCTGGACATCCTAACAAGGCCAGGATTTAGGCCACCAGCACAATTGTCGTTGCCGTTATCGGCGATGTCAGGCCCTTTTCCAGTTCAAGCTGGTTCACAACCAAGTGGTACATCTGCAGCAGCCGCACAGACTGTTGCGTTTTCTTCTTCGGGTCCGGCGGTGATTGCTACATCACCATCACCTGTTCAGCAATCTGGACAGCAGCAAGGTCAATGGTACCCCAAGACCCCAATGAAACCGCCTCTTGCCTTCTCAGGCGAGAGGAAGGATGAAGAACTCAACACATGGTTGAGGACAGTCCCGGTTTGGGTAAAGGCCAAAAGGACCTTGCCTGAGGATGAAGTGGTAACTGCGGCGTCTTACCTAGAGGGTAAGGCAGCCAAATGGTTAGATGGAGTAGTTGTGAAGGTCGGGTACGGGTGACGCATGGCGGATTGGGCTAAGTCCTTGACTTTAGACCAATTCATGGAGATGGTAGAAGCTCGATGGCATGACCCACAGGAGGCTCAAAGGGCCACTGATGCCATTAATAAACTGGACCAACGCAAGTTCAGGTCAGTTAGGGAGCTTACGACTACCGTCGAAAGCCTGATCCTCGTCCCAGGCATCAACTACAGTGACCAGTTCCTCTTAACCACGTTTGTTAGATGTCTACCTGAGAACATGAGGAACTTACTAGCCAGTGAGGCACGCACTGAGTACCACTCATTTGAGACATTGTCTAGGAAAGCCTTAGACTTAGAAGCCACGCTAGGCAATGCTCAATCCACCTCAGGGAATGACTCAAAGAAGAAGAAGAATCCTCAGGAGAAGGGGGCAAAGTTGATGATGGTTGAGTCTGATGGGACTCAAACTGAGATCGATGAGCTCTCTGACCTGATGGACTACTCAGAGTATGACGGCGAGGAGGTAGCTGAGGGTAGCACCCTCGCCGCGGTAGTAAAGACTAAGGCAGGTGGCCGAGGGAAGGGCCAACCTAGGAGTCAAGGGAAGGCCGCCTCCAATCAGTCCAAACAGGCTGAGTGGGTCAAGGTAGGTCTTGACCAGGACGTGTGGCGTGACCGCCGATCGCGTGGCGCTTGTATCAACTGCGGTGAATACGGACACACGCAGTGGAAATGCCCGAACGCTAAGGTTATGCAAAAGGTTGCACCAAAGGTTGGGGCAACTATTTCCCAGGCTTCTAGCTCGGGAAACGCGTAGGGCCAGTGGAAGTGATAGCGGCTTCTACTCAAGATGAAGTGGGAATGATACCCTCCTCACTTCATGACAAGGTCGAAGCTAACGACTCCTTAGCTACCCCGCAGACGCATCAAGACCAAACTATGCTCTGCACGTTAGATGTGTCTGAGGCCTTAGAAGACTTAGAAGGCGAGTGGTCAAACAAGGACCCTCGTGAGTCTTGGGCGGCGCTAAAGAAGGGTCCTAGAGGGGAACATTTCGTTGTGGAAGTGGATGTAGGAGGCCGCAAATGTGGTGCCTTCATAGACACAGGCTCCACGCAAAATTACATAAGTCGGGACTGTTTGGAAAGGCTGCACCTACAGGATCGGGTACGGCACCTTAGTAGACCAATAGCATCTACTTTGGCCAACAAGGAGCGCATGATTGTCACAGACTACCTCAAGGACGTAGTCTGTACCTTATCCTATGGAGGAGGTGAGCTTAACCATAAGATCTCGTTCTTGATTAGTAACGACTTGCCATTTGACATGTTGCTAGGCATGTACTACCTCGATATTGCTAAGCCCCAGTTTGACTGGGATAAGAAGGTGCTCAAACAGAGGTTGCCCGATGCTCGAACTGTCAGAATGACTAAGTTCAAGGCCAACAGTATTGTAGATACATATGGCTGCTTGTGTGCATCAGCGTTCTGCAATTATTACAAGCAAAACCAAGAGGAGGGTATGTACCTTGTTTATGTCTATGGGAAGGGGGAGGCCATTAAAACACCCCCAGAGATAGAATGCGTCGTTGCTAAGTTCCCTGATCTGTTCGAAGAGCCCACATGAGTTGTTGATAGGGAAGTCGTCCACGCTATAGAAATCATTCCAAGGAGTAAGACCCCAAAGGGAAGGATCTATAGGATGACCCCTGCGGAGTTAGATGAACTTCGGAAGCAACTCAAGGAGCTGACAGAGAAGCGATGGATTTGGCCTAGTACTTCCCCTTACGGATCACCCGTGCTATTCGTACCGAAGAAGGGGGGTACTTCGAGGATGTGCATTGATTATAGGGGCCTCAATGCCATCACTGTGAAAAACGCAGAGCCTCTACCTCGCATAGACGACCTATTGGATAGAGCGCAGGGATGCAAGTACTATACGAAGATAGACTTGAAATCCGGGTATCATCAGATCGCTATAAGACCTGAGGACCAACACAAAACAACTTTTCAGACTAGATATGGTCTGTATGAGTTTGTAGTGATGCCTTTCGGTCTTTGTAATGCGTCGGGTACATTCCAGCACGCTATGAATTGGATCTTCCATGACCGTTTAGATAAGTTTGTCGTAGTCTATCTAGACGATATTCTGATCTTTAGTAAGTCTGCCGAGGAGCACGCACAACATGTTGAGACAGTTCTCTCACTCCTACGACAGCACAAGTATAAGGTCAACTTAGAGAAGTGTGAATTCGGTCGCACTAGGATTCTATACTTGGGTCATGAAGTATCCGCGGAGGGAATTAGGCCGGAAGATGCGAAAGTGGCTAGTATTCGAAACTGGCCACGACCTCAAACAATTACTGAGGTCAGATCTTTCTTAGGAATGTGTGGCTACTGTAGGAACTTCGTAAAGAACTATTCTACAATCGCCTCTCCTTTGACAGATCTAACTTGACTTGACACACCGTGGGACTGGAGTAATGAGTGTGAGGGTGCTTTCAAGAGATTGAAGCATGCACTCATGAATCTCGAAGTTCTCATGGTTCCCGATCCGCAGAAGCCATTCATAGTGACCACTGACGCAAGCCAATACGACATCGGCGCAGTGCTGGCTCAACAGGATGGGAAAAAGTTGAGACCGATTGAGTATATGAGTAAGAAGATGCCATCGAAGAAAGAGTATATGAGTAAGAAGATGCCATCGAAGAAATTGGCTAAGTCCACCTACGAAAGGGAACTCTACGCTCTCTACAAGGCACTTGTCCATTGGAGACACTTCCTTTTGGGAAGATTCTTCTATCTGAGGGCTGATCATCAGACCCTCAAACGGATCAAGACTCAACGGGCTCTTTCTGATGCACTCAAGCGATGGATTGAGCTCATAGACCAATATGACTTCAAGCTTGAGTACCTGAAGGGAGAGTACAACAAGGTTGCAGACGCGCTATCCCGTAGAGCAGACTACCTAGGTGCACTAGTTTCCAAATTTGGCGTATCTAACGAAGTAACTCAATCATTGGTGGGAACCTATCAGGAAGACTCTATCACGATGGACATCATCCGCAAACTTCAGGCAAAAGACAAGGCCACAGAAAGTGTGTTTGTGATGGTGGATGGGCTTATCTATCTTGATAATGATAAGGCTGGAGTAAAGAGATTGGTAGTTCCATCTAGTGAACAGTTGCGTAGTTTATTTTTAGGCGAATGTCATGACGCAACTGGGCACTTTGGCTACAAGAAGACGAGTGCTAACTTAGTACAGCGATTTTGGTGGCCCAGAATGCTAGATGACGCAAAGAAGTATGTTGAGACCTGTCAGGTCTGTCAGCGGGACAAGCCGCGAATTCCAGCACCGCTTGGGTTATTGAAGCCTTTACCCATTCCTGATGGTCCAGGATTGAGTGTTTCCATGGATTTCATGGACACCCTAGTGACCAGCAAGAGTGGTAAGAGGCACATTTTCGTCATCATTGATAGATTCACCAAGTACGCTACACTAATACCAATGTCAGAGACAGCCAGGACGGAGTATGTCATCATGTTGTTCAAGGCCAACTGGGTAAGGGACTTTGGTTTACCAAAGACCATCATTAGTGACCGAGACGTCCGCTTCACAAGTGAACTGTGGAAGAAGACTGCAGAACAGATGGGCAGTCAACTTCAAACGACTTCAGGGAATCATCCCGAAGCCAACAGACAAGCTGGACAAATGAGCAGAGTGGTACAGCACTTGCTGCGGCATTACATCAAGCCCAGCCAAGATGATTGGGATGAGCAGTTGCCTCTCATCGCCAGCTTGTACAACAATGCTATTCATAGTAGTACCGGCGTTAGTCCTATAACCAGTTGCACTTGGGATGGAAGCCTAGATCAGCACTAGACTTCCTCCTACCTGAAAACCGACCTGCTGCAACTCCAGGCACACTTGAATACGGTGTGCAATATGAGAAGTTGCTGCGAGAGGCTGTTGAACATATGAAGAAAGCTCAGCAAGCCATGATTGCTTCTGAGAATCAACATCGCAGACAGTCCACATTTCAGGTAGGGGAACGTGTCTGGATCAAGGCTAGTGAGTTAGGACAGGAGTTCGGAATATCTCGTAAACTAATGCCTCAATACTTTGGTCCCTGGGAAGTCTTGGATGTAGTGGGAGATGAAATGGATGGTCCTACGTACGTCATTCGCGTCCCTGGTGATCGACGCACTCACCCAGTTTTTCATGCCTCAAAGCTTGCGCCTTTCGCTGAGACAGATCAATTCCCTTCGAGGAGATCGATGCTGCCCCCAACCATGGATGGTCAAGTTGACATCGACGACATTGTGGATCACAGGGACATGCCTGTTCCAAAGCCGCTGGGCTGATCAGGCATCACACGGATCCTAAAGAAGATCGTTGGTTTACCAGGGAGGAACTGATTGACACAGCCCCTCAGGTGGTGGCAGACTATGAGAAGAAACTGAAAGGGAAGGCGCCTGCGAAGTAAGCATCTCAGCAGACTTTCGAAGCTAAGGGGGATGGAATGTGAGTCCTGAGCCCTCAAGTAGGGGCCTTGCCATGATGTACATATTCTGGGCTAAGGCCCCAGCAAGCCTAGTGCCCGCCCTAAGTGAAGGCGGGCCAGCAAATCGACAAGAGCCCTCTGTGCAACATTTCACGAAGTGGGGTCCATACAGTTGCAGCACGCCAGTTGGTTGGAGTGCACCGAGTCTCATATTTCAGCAAATGCTGAAAGCCCAGGGCCTCTGAGTTGGTTAGGCCCTGGGCATCTGAACGTGAGGCCGACAATGTATGCTGGGAAGAGAGGCCGAAAATGCCAAAGGGAAATTGGCCCACTGTCTGAATCTGGCCGCAGGCCTTGATGAAGGAGGCGCAACTGCCTTACCCCGGGGTCCAACTGTATCGAGTTGGCTTCAGCCTCTGGGCCCCGGTCACAGGCTGAAGGGAGGCCGCCCACACGCTGCACTGGCATATAGGCAAGCAGGGCGAGGCAGCGGGGATCTTGGCCAATGCTGGCATATGCGGGCACGCTGCGCAGATGCAAGGGTNTGGCTATGACTACTACCTCGTTCATGGCAACGAGGCCCTTCCTGATTGTGTGCAGGGCCCTCTCGGATAACCCGCAGGGGGTTTGAAATAAATATTAACAAGGAGCTATTTGGTTACTTTTTTTTTTTTTTTTTTAATTTATGCCCATCTGTGACCAGCACACTTGCGCAGCAGGTATGCTCCAACCCCAACCCCCCATACCCCTCCCCCATCCCAAAAATTTTCTCTGCGGATTTGGGCTATACTCAGCAAGCGCAGTAAGGCTGCGCAATCAGAAAAAAAAAAAAAAGCAGCGGATGCCTATTTTCTGACGGGTCGGCGGACCGCCGACCGGTCAGCCCCGATCCGTCGGGACAAAACGGTCGGCGGTCGGCGTCGGCGGTCGGCGCCGGTGCAACCCTGCATGGCGGTGTATTTCCCACGTTTTAGCGGAAGATTTGTTATCGTTTTGCATTTGGTGAGTTGTGGAGTGAGGTCCTGCTACGTCTTCCGCTGCATATTGGGAAGATACACCGCCGTATTTTCTTCTCTTCTTTCGGGATGTCACGATTAGTGGAGCGGGGCCCTGAAGCTGTGTCGAGCCTATGTGAGGACCTCCGAGCATGCTGGAGGTTGTGATTGTTGCTGGGAAAGGTACTGGCAGTTTAATTACCTCCAGAGATAAGGGGAAATAGTCGTAGTGTATGCCCTAAGCAGAATAGAGTTCGCATTTTGGGGCGAGACCCGTCTAGCGAAGAAGAAACCGATCCGCTTTGCTTGTCGAACCTCGCCCTTGGTGTTGGACAAGTCTGATTTTAGGTTGGACTTCCAGGATTCATCAACAGTTGATGGGTGTACCATTGATCCGAATGGGCTTTGTACGACAATGGACAAGTTCCCATTGGTAGCCTCCGGTCCATGTAATATGCCCCGCCCCACATGGTATCACACAGCGAGACTACCTGGTACACGTCGTACCACCCGATCCATTTTGTAGAGGGCCGAGTTATCACCTCACATTGAAATTGCCCAGTTCACACATCACTGCACAACCCACACAGTATCACCTGCTCCACACAATGCTCCGCCCACGCCACAATGATGCTGTCTAGACCACAGTACCTTCTACCTGTGCGAAGGGTCCTGTTGTGTCTGAGGTTGGCTGTGTGTGTGTGTGTGTGTGTGTGTGTGTGTGTGTGCTGTCTCTTATACACATCTAGATGTGTATAAGACCCCGCCCCTCCTCCTCCTCCTCTTCCCCGTCCAACCTGGTCTGCCTGTCCTATCCTCCTTTGGCCAGAGCTATTCATGCCTCACCACTGTGACCAGGTGCTTGTCACGCTGGATTGATTCGTTGGTGCACATGCACGTCGGCTGTATCAGTCCATTGAGTATTTTCAAGTTTTAAGACTTTTTACTTCTTGAATTTTATGATGTCGTGGGCTGTTTGAGTCCATAAAGAGGAGGGTACTACACCCCACCCTGCCCAGGAGTGTAGTTCAATTCCCCACCTCTGCTACTAGAACGTACCTGGAAGCCCGTAAGGTCAGGTGCATGATCTATACATGGATGTGAAGTCATCCGGGTGCGTTTTCTGAGGGGCGTTGCAGTCTGTTTGCAGAAAACTAGTCTTTGCCGACATTGCAGAAAACCAATTATTGACATGTCCAGCACTTCTGGATGGATTGATGCTGCTGCTGACGAGGATGGGGATGATGAGGAGTAGGAGGCAGCAGGGTGAGAGGAAGAAGGAGGGTATGATGGCGATGAGAAAGGAAGGGGGGAAGGAGGAAACGGGGGAGGAGAATAGGAAACATTAGGAAAAGGCAGCTGCAAAGATGAATGAAGAGTAGAATAATTAATGCAAAAGGTGATACGGAGCGGGCGGTGTGGGGGGTGCAAGGAGGATTTACAGTTGCAGCAAGACAGTGTCTACTCCAGCACAATACGGAGAAGGAAGGTGATTGTCGTACCCCTGGACGACATCTAGCACGGTCATGAAAAGCAGCCGTGTCTACATGTGCACATCATCCCACCCCTGTGCCCAACCAGAATGCTGCTGACCAGTCCAGTCCACAGTTTATTTTAAGTCGTGTGCAGTACAACTTGTGATCCCCGCCAGAGGACTGGTCGGACAGCACCTACTTCTATGCGCAGCAAGGCAAAAAGGACTTCAGCGCTAGCATGTGCAAACTACTTCCGGTGGGTTGACTGTTGTCGCGACCCAATGCTTCGTCCACCGAGGGCTCTTCACAGGCACGGCCCTTCTCCAAAATGCCAGAAGTAGTGCGCACTCTCACTCCTCACTAGGAGAGGACTCTCAAGATGGAACCCACTTCGAAGAGGGTAGAGAAGGTCAGAGACAGACGTACCTCGATAGCCTGCCCCCAACCACAGATTTTCCACCGTCAGTGAAGATGTGTGTTCATCGACCGGTCGATAGCGTTGAAATCACAAATATAAAAATGCACGTGCGGCCGTTGCCGAATGTCATGTCATCTCACTCACATCATCAAGCATGCACCCAATAATATTCCAATAAGCCTCCGGCCATCCCCTCTCTACCCAGGGGATGACACATACACCCTTCAGCATGATTGTACTTACACTGCACCGGTAACCACACCTCGTTCAAGGAAGAAACAGAGTGCTTGAGCCCAGGAGTAAGCCTACAAACCGGCTCTGATACCAAATTGCAAGGGGAATGAGAGATGCGAATGACGGAAACCGAATTGCATCAGCCCATTGAAATCCATAAAGTCATGTTCACGAACTGAAAGCAGAATGCCACACGAGATGCACCAAATAAGAGCAAAGCAATGAAGCCGATTGGCTCTGAAAGCCCTCTCCTGGCCTCCAACAACAGTGTCTCCAATGTTGCTTGCCTATATGGTGCACGGCAGGCCACAGACAGACGGCACCTACGACCTAGGACTCTCTAATGACGACAACAGGCCTTTGTGAAGATCAGCAGCAGCCCGATGACGAATGCAGATCCCAGCTACGGTGTCCATCCCTGGTCACCACCAGGTGCGTGCTCTCTCCCTATGCATCACGCACACTTCCCCTGTGCACCCACAAACACAGCACCCATCACGGAAGTACCACCGCTCCACACCTTGGCTTGGACGCAGGCAGCCCGGCTGTGGCTGCCCACATATGTGCTGCGCCCAGGCAGCACCCCGCAAGCACCCTACGCCTTTTGCCCGACCAGCGCCCAAGCAGCCTGCAATCCAGCAGTGCTGCTGTGTCTGGCCAGCCAGCAAGAATGAGGAAGTGAGCCCAGTCACTTCCTTCTGTGCAAATGCTGAGTGGGCGAGGCAACTTTTGGACAGCTTGGCCTCTGTCCCAGTAGCTGCACCCAGGGCCCTCCTAGAATGTGCCTGGTGCTCAACTGTAAGAGCCCTGCGCCTCAGAAGCTCCTGGCCCGTAGCATCTTGCGACTGATTGGGACTACCAGTTGGTTGCAAGATGCTGCGTGCAGCAACCAACCCATGCGGCCTGCTTGCCCTCATTGGCGGCTTTTACTAAGGCCATGTTGACTTTCCAGGGCCCGCCTTCACTCAGGGTGGGCGCAGACAATTTCCAGAGGGCATGCGCCCTTTTGACAACACGGCCAAGGGTCTCTTGCCTTGCACTACCTCCCCCTCAGCTATGAAAGTCCCCTGAGTAAGCCTTCAAGTAACTTTCTGCTTCCCTTTGATCATCTTTTGATAATGTGATATGATTTGAGGTGCTGTTTTCATCAGCTCCTGCCTTGTAAGACATTGATCTTCCCTGGGATCTGTATGATGCCTGAATCTGATCTGGAACTACATCTGTGGTTTCGGTGGTCTACCCCTGCCAACAGACTTGGGGACAGGCATAACCTTATGCTCCACAATCTGGTCGATGTCGACATATCCGTCCATGGTTGGGGACAGCATTGATCTCCGGGAAGGAAACTGATCTGTTTGAGCGAAAGATAGGAGTTCGGAGGCATGGAAGATGGGGTAAGTACTAAGTGCGTAGATGAGGGATAGGGATCACATACGATGGGCCATCTGAATGTGAACCCACAATGTCAAGAACTTCCAATGACCAGATAAACTTTGGCATCAATTTTTGAGAGATGTCCATCTCCTGTCCGAACTCCGAAGACTTAACCCAGACTCGCCCTCCTGCCCGAAGACTTAACCCAGACTCTCTTCTTCTCCTGTTATCGGATGCAATCATAGCATCCTGAGACTTTCTAATCTGTTCTATGGTCTGCTGCAGTTATTTGTCATATTCCATGGCAAATTCTAAGCTTCCTGGAGCAGTAGTCGGTCTAGTCTCAGGGAGAAGATAATCTAATGGAGTCTTAGGCTTCCAGCCTAAGTGCAACTGATTCGGTGTCCGCGCGGTAGCACTATAAATAGTGTTGTTGTACAGGCTGGCGGTGAGTGGAAGTTGATCCCAGCCCTCCTGGCTTGGCTTCATATAATGCCTAAGCAAGTGCTGTACACACGGTTCATCTGTTCAGTTTGCCCATTAGTTTCCGGGTGGTTCCCAGAGGTCGTTTGCAACTGGGAACCCATCTGGTCCACAGTCTCACTAATGATAAACTTCGATAATACAAAATCCCGTACCCAGTGATCCATAAAGATCTCGATTACATAGTCAGTCTTGGCGGCCTCGGGGAGTGCAATCAGTCTGGCGTATTTAGAAAATCTATCAATTATTGCAATTACGTGCCTTTTGCTCGACTTGCTGGTGACAAGAGTGTCCATGAAGTCCATAGGGACAAACCTGCCTATTGGGCTGCAAGAACTGAAAGCAGAATGCCACACGAGATAACCCAAATAAGAGCAAAGCAATGAAGCCGATTGGCAATGAAAGCCCTCTCCTTGCCTCCAACATCAATCTCTCCAATGTTGCTCTCCTATATGGTGCTTGGCACCCAGACTACGGATAGATGGCACCTATGACATAGGACTCTCTGATGATGACAACAGGCCCTTCGTGAAGATCAGCATCACCCTGATGACGAATGAAGACCCTGGCTGTGGTGTCCACCCCAGCTCACCATCGGGTGTGTGCACTCTCCCTATGCACTGTCCCCACTTCCCTTGTTCACCCACAAATACAGTGCCCATCACCGCACGACCACTGCTCCACACCTCGGCTTGGGCGGTGGCAGCCCGACTATGGCTGCCCACGTACACACCTTCCCAGCGCCCTACGCCTCTTGCCTGACCAGCGCTTAAGCAGCCTGGGATCCAGCAGCGCTGTCCCATCCGGCCAGCCAGCAAGAATGAGGAAGTGAGCCCAGTCACTTCCTTTTGTGCAGATGCTGGGTGCGCAAGGCAGCTTCTGGACTCCCTCTATCCCAGTAGCTGCGTCCAGGACCCTTCCAGAATGTGCCTGGGGCTCAACTGTAAAATCCCTGGGCCTCAGTATCTTGCAACCGATCCAGACTTCGGTTGCGAGAGGCTGCGTGCAGCGACCAACCAACGCGGTCTGCCCACCCTCATTGGCCGCTTTTACTGAGGCAATGTTGATTTTCCAGGGCCTGCCTTCACTCAGGGAGGGCGCAGACAATTTCCAGAAGGCGCAGACCCTTTTGACAACGCGGTCGAGGGCATCATGCCTTGCATATATGTGCACGCACACACCCTCAGAAGCAAGGGAGAGGGAGAGAGAGAGAGAGAGAGAGAGAGAGAGAGAGAGAGAGAGAGAGAGAGAGAGATTAGGGTGGGGATACTGGAGTGGATTGACTGATTGTCTGTGCTTGGGGTACTGTTGTAGGGCGTAGTGTTGCAAAAAAAGAGGTGGAGCGACTTGTTGAAGGCTTCAACATTCAAGTGGGAAACCTTTGCCAGGTATGAGTAATCGATGATGATGTCAATCTTTTACTGCATTTTCTCTCTCCCCTCCTCCTTTTTCTTAGGCAACGAAACTGTGGCATGCATACTGAATGAATATGCATTTCTTATAATGGAAAAGTTGTCGAGGTTGGGTGCAGTCTTATGCCCGAGAGTCGATGTCCTTTCTGAGAAGCAGGTTCAAGCATGAACCATGAGACCATGATAACGAATGAGGGGTATAATCGGGACATGGACCGATTGATTAAGGGCAAAGTAAGATGTTCAGTGGAGGGAAATTGTGTGGATGCTTCAAGTGTTTAATTGATCTGTATCTACCCATGTATGCCATGTATATGTGATCGCTATGTTCAATTTATATCAATGTGCATAGTTATGGAGAACTGCCTGGTGAACCATAGGCAGAGAGGCAGATGTATATGTATGTGTATGTGTATATACAATTATGTATGTGTATATACATCTGTTGTCCTCTTCTCCCTCTCTGCGTACGGTTTACCGGGGAGTTCTGTTTGATGATATATACCACGACTCCTATAGCACCCTGCTACGGTTTTCTCCGGTGAGGTTGAGCGTCTGTGGTCGGGCCCGTCACTACGCGGCCATGTTGTGCCTCTACTGCCAGCGGCGTGTCTGGAGTGTATTTTCTGGCTGTGATAGACCTTTCTTTGTTTGTTGGTTGTTTTGCTGGCGTGTGATGGGGTGTGAACCGACAGTCTGTAGAGTTTTCCATCTGGTGTTGGTGAGTGATAGTCTTCTTTGATTTTCGTCACAAGTACCTTGAGGGGAGTGGTTCGTGCCCACCTCGGGGTACCAGTTGTCAGGTAGTCGTTCATGTTTAACCTCAACCGGGGTTAATGTGGATTATTACTTACAGTGTAATCAGTTAGGGGATTCTGCAGACTGTTGAGGGTTCAGCCTCCTGATGAGTTGACGAAACAGTTTGTCACAGCCCCTCGGTTGTTGTCCTCTTCTCCCTCTCTGCCTACGGCTTACTGGGCAGTTCTGTTTGGCGATATATATACACGTTGTGCCAGGGGCGTGCCTGGAGTGTATTTTCTGGCTGTGACAGACCTTTCTTTGCTTCATGGGTGTTTTGCTGGCTTGTGATGGGGTGTGAATCTGCAGTCTGTAGACTCTTCAGTTTGGTGTGGGGGAGTGGTGGTCTGCTTTGATTCTCGTCACAGTTGTGTTGAGGGCAGTGGTTGGTGCCGGCAGTCGTTGATGCTTAACTATGGCCGGGTTTAAGGTGGATTATCATGTTCAGTATCATCAGTTAGGGGACTCTGCAGACTGTAGAGGGTTCAGCCTCCTATGAGTCGGCGAAACTCCGATGAAACATCTGTCACAGCCCCTCGTTCAGCCTCCTATGAGTCGGCGAAACTCCGATGAAACAT